CTCTCCTCTCTTCTCTCTCTCTCTCTATCTCCCCTCTCTCTCTCACTGTCTCTCTCCCTCTCTCTCTCTCCTGTCTCTCTCTCTCTCTCTCTCTCTCTCTCTCTCTCTCTCTCTCTCTCTCTCTCTCTCCACTTAAAAAAAAAAATCATGCTTCAAAAAGTGGGGTCTCCAAATAAGTGGTGGAATGACGATCCCCCGCGTCCAACGACCACTACACCACTGTACTTCAGTAAAGGTACTATTACCACACTTTGAATTACTATATACTACATTAAAAAAATCTTGCATTGAAAATAAGACTTTTGCAAATATATAAATAAAGAGATTTTCTCCGAGGCCAAAAAAACGTTGACAATTTCTGTCCAAATGGCCTCCGTAATTACTGCATGAATACAACATAGTTATTTCAAATCTATAACAGAAATACGCCTTGGGCTCTTTGAACATTTTGCACATTTCAAAGGCATGTTAGACACTTGTCTTTGTGTCTGTGCTGAACGTGCAGCCAACGTGTTATTTCTACAGTCTTTTATTGGAGTCAGGAAATGAAGCGGGTGTTTTTATTTTCCCCTGCAGTTGAAATTATGTCAGAGTTTATTGTTTGTGGGCGTGTTTTTTTATTTATTTTATTAGTCTGACTTCATTGTGTCTCCTTCGGGGGGAAGAATTCAAGAATTGAAGATGGCATGAATTTATATTTTTCTAATATTCCTGTGCATTAGTCAGCAGAAATATATAATTTTCAAATCTTCAATCAGTCCTACGGTGGCCAGCAGGTGCCAACGCGCTACGACGGCCCAGAACATTTCCATCAGGAGAAAAATGTTGCCGACTCATTTAACATTTAACATTTAAAAGTCCCGTAGCCACTCAGCTTTTTACAAGAAATGCAAACCACTAGGGAATTACACGAAGTTGAAAACTAAAATCTTAAAATATTTTGTTACACGTCACAAAATATACAAGATGTTATGTAATCAGAAAAAATGTATGTGTGCGTTGTGCGTGTGTGTGTGTGTGTTGTGTGGTCTGTACATCTGTTGGACAGTAACGGGGTGTTGCGTTCACTGTCGGGACCCCTTCGGGCGGGCCGTTTTTAACGTCTGTTTCACTTTAACGTCTGCTCTACTCTCAGGTTCCACTTGTTATTCTCCCAGCGCCTGCTGCCGTCCAGAAGCATGTCTTTTATGACGGGGGGGAGTGTGTTGGTGTGTGTGTGTGTGTGTGTGTTGTGTCGTGTGTGTGTGTGTGTGTGTGTGTGTGTGGTGTGTGTGTGTGTGTGTGTTGTGTGTGTGTGTGTGTGTGTGTGTGTGTGTGTGTGTGTGTGTGTGTGTGGTGTGTGTGTGTGTGTGTGTGTGTGTGTGTGGTGTGTGTGGGACCTCTGGTCTTCAGATGGTACAGCTTGTTTTTTTGGTCCAAATGACTACGCTTTTGTTAGATCACTACAAAGAGACAGAAGTCTGTTACTAATTATCCATGCTCCCCTGAAGTATTGTAGTATTACCACACAGGTACAAATCTGCTTGCCATTCATCATTAAAGTCTACATCAGTGAGAATCATTGTTTAAAATGTTTTAATTTTAAAGAGTCCTCTCCTGCTGATGTTCAGGTGTATATCAGTATGTAGTTGTCTCTACTTTAAAGAGTCCTCTCCTGCTGATGTTCAGGTGTTATACAGTATCTAGTGTCTCTACTTTAAAGAGTCCCTCTCCTGATGTTCAGTGTTTGATTTGTATGTTTGTATCAGTATGTAGTGTATCTACTTTAAAGAGTCCTCTCCTGCTGATGTTCAGGGTGTATATCAGTATCTAGTGTCTCTACTTTAAAGAGTCCTCTACTGCTGATGTTCGGTGTATATCAGTATCTAGTGTCTCTACTTTAAAGAGTCCTCTCCTGCTGATGTCAGGTGTATATCAGTATGTAGTGTCTCTACTTTAAAGAGTCCTCTCTGCTGATGTTCAGGTGTATATCAGTATCTAGTCTAGTGTCTCTACTTTAAAGAGTCCTCTCCTGCTGATGTTCAGGTGTATATCAGTATGTAGCTGTATCTACTTTAAAGAGTTCATCTCCATGCTGATTGTTGCAGTGTGTATCATCAGATATCTAGTGTCTCTACTTTAAGAGTCCTCTCCTGCTGATGTTCAGGTGTTATATCAGTATCTAGTGTCTCTACTTTAACGAGGTCCTCTCCTGCTGATGTTCAGGTGTATATCAGTATGTAGTGTCTCTACTTTAAAGAGTCCTCTCCTGCTGATGTTCAGGTGTATATCAGTATCTAGTGTCTCTACTTTAAAGAGTCCTCTCCTCCTGATGTTCAGGTGTATATCAGTATGTAGTGTATCTACTTTAAAGAGTCCTCTCC